TTTGACATTATACAATGTAACTATTTTTTGTGTCCCTTTACCAATTCCTCCATTAACTCCTGAACCCCCTTTCCCACCTCTGTAACCTCAGTTGTGTTCTCTCCTTTTGAAAGTTCAACATACTACTGTGATTGTTTTATCTTTCTTTCCTTCTTTTTTATTTGTTTATTATTTAACTCCCATTTATGAGTGAGTACATGCAGTATTTCTCTTTCTGTGCCTGGCTTATTTCACTTAACATGATTTTCTCTAGTTTGATCCATGTTGCTGCAAATGCAGTATTTCATTCTTTTTTCATGGCAGAGAAGTATAAGTATTCCATTGAGTATATACCACACTCTCCTTATCCAGTCATTTGATGATGGACATTTAGGTTGGTTCCAACTATTAGCTACAGTAAATAGAGCTGTGATAAACATGGGACTGCAGGTATCCCTCGATACGATGATTTCCATTCCTTTGGGTATATACCCAGCAATGGAATTGCTGTATTGTATGACAGTTCTATGCTTAGTAGTTTGAAGAACCTCCATACCATTTCCCATAATAGATGCACCAATTTACAGTCCCACCAACAGTGCAGAAATGTTCCCCTTTCTCTGCATCTTGGCCAGCATTTGTTCTTCACTGTCTTTTTGATAATAGCCAATCTAACTGGGGTGAGATAATATTTCAGTGTGGTTTTGATTTACATTTCTCTGATGCTAAGTGATGTGGAGCATTTTTTCCTTAGTCTGTTGGCTGTTTGTATATCTTTTAGTAAATGCCGTTCAGCTACTGTGCCCAGTTTTTGGTCAGGTTATTTGTTTTTTTAGTGTTAAGTTGTTTGAGTTCCTGTATATTCTGGATACTAATCCTTTGTTGAATGCATAATTTGCAAATATTTTCTCCCACTCTATAGGTTACCTTTTCACTCTGTTAATTGTTTCTTTTGCTGTGCAGAAGCCTTTTAGTTTGACATATTCCCATTTGTTTATTTTTCCTTTGGTTGCCTGTGTTTTGGAGGTCTTATTCATAAAGACTTTGCCCATTCCTACTTCCCGAAGTGTTACCCCTGTGTTTTCTTTTAGGAGTTTTATGGTTTCAGGACATATACTTAATTCTTTAATCCATTTTGAGTTGATTTTGGTATATGGTGAGAGGTATGGGTCTAGTTTCATTCTTCTACATGTGGATGTTCAGTTTTCACAGCATCACTTATCTAGGAGGCAGTCTTCCCCCCAACGTGTGTTTTTGGTGACTTTGTCAAAGATCAGTTGGCTGTAAGTTTGTGGGTTGATTTCTGGGTTCTCTACTCTGTTCCATTGGTCCAAGTGTCTGCTTTTATGCCAGGGGCATGCTGTTTTGGTTACTATAGCTTTGCAGTCTAACTCAAAGCCAGGTAGTGTGTTGCCCTCTGGCTTTATTTTTTTGTTGTTGTTCAGGATTGTTTTGGCTATAAGTGGTCTTTTGTTGTTCCATATGGATGTTAGGATTGCTTTTCTATTTCTGTGAAGAATGTCATTATTATTTTGCTGGGATTTGTATTGAATCTGTAGATTGCTTTGGGTAGTATGGATATTTTCACAATGTTAATTCTTCCAATCCAAGAGCATGGGATGCTTCCATCTTTTGGTGTCTTCTTTAATTTCTTTCAACAGTGACTTGTAGTTCTTCTTGTAGAGATCTTTCACCTCCATGTTTAAATTTATTCCCAGGTTGTGTGTGTGTGTGTGTGTGTGTGTGTGTGTGTGTGTGTGTGTGTGACTATTGTAAAATGACTAGCTTTCTTGATTCCTTTTTCTGCTAGTTCATTGTTGGAGTATAAAAACACTACAGATTTTTTCGTGTTGATTTTGTATCCTGCAACTTTATTGAAATTGTTTATCAACTCTAACAGCTTTTTGTAGATTTCTGCTAGTTCATTGTTGGAGTATAAAAACACTACAGATTTTTTCGTGTTGATTTTGTATACTGCAACTTTATTGAAATTGTTTATCAACTCTAACAGCTTTTTGTAGAATCTTTAGACTTTTCTATATATAGGATAATGTCATCTGCAAACAGGGACAGTTTGACTTCGTCTTTTCCAATGTGTATGCCCATTATTTCCTTCTCTTTCCTGATTCCTCCGACTAGTACTTTCAACACTGTGTTAAATAGATGTGGTGACAGTGGGCTTCCTTGTCTGGTTCCTGTCTTAAAGGGAAAAGCTTTCAATTTTTTCCGATTCAGGATGATATTGGTGATGGGTTTCTCATATATGGCTTTTCTTGTATTGAAATTCTTTCTTTCTTTACCTAATTTGCTGAAAGTCTTTAATCATGAAGGGGTGTTGAATTTTGTCATATGTCTTTCCTGCATCTATTGAGCTAATCATATAGTTTTTGTTCTTAGTTTTGTTGATATGGTGTATCACATTTATTGGCTCACATGTTTAACTATCCTTGCATTCCTGGGATGAATCTCTCTTGATGGTCATGTAATTTTTTCGATGTGTTGCTGTATTCTATTCGCTAGTATTATATTGAGGATTTTCCCACCTTTGTTCATCAGAGATATAGGTCTATAGTTTTCTTTTTTTGTTGTATCTTTGGCTGGTTTTGGTATCATGGTGATGCTGGCCTTATAGAATGCATTTGAGAGAATGGTCTCTGTTTCTGTTTTTTGGAATAGTTTGAAGAGAATTGGTGTTAACTCCTTTTTAAACATCTGGTATAATTCACCAGTAAAACCATCCAGTCCTGCACTTTTCTTTATTGGGAGACTGCTGATTATTGCTACAATCTCATTGCTTATTATTGGCATGTTCAGGTTTTCTGTCTTGGTTCAGTCATGGTAGTTTGTCTGTGTGCAGAAATTTATCCATTTCTTTCAGGTTTCAAATTTGTTGATGCATAGTTGTTTATTGTAGTCTTTCTTTGTATGTTTGTGGTGTTGGTTGTAATGTCTCCTTTTTAATTTCTGATTTTTGTTATTTGGCTCTTCTCTCTTGATTTTTAATTAGACTAGCAAACGGTTTGTCTATTTTGTTTATCTTCTGAAAAATCCAATTTTTTGTTTCTTTGATATTTTGTGTCATTTTAGGAGTTTCTGTTTTATTTACTTGTGCTGTGATTTTAATTATTTCTGTTTGTCTACTCGTTTTGGGATTGTATAGTTTGTTTTTCTAGTTCTTTGAGGTGTAGCATTAGGTTGTTTATTTGAAGTCTTTCTAGTTTTTTTTGATATGTGTTTTTTGCAATAAATTTCCCTCTAATACTGCTTTTACAGAAAACACACAGGTTTTGGTATGATGTGTCTTATTTCCATCAGTTTCAAAAGATTTTCTGATTTTTTAAAAATTTCTTCTTGGATTATATGTTGTTCAGGAGCATGTTGTTTAATTTCCTTGTGTTTGTTTAGTTTACAGAGTAGCACTTTTTATTGATTTCTAGTTGTAAACAGTTGTGGTCTGAGAAGTTACTTAAATTTTTTTTTAAAAAATCTGTTGAGGTTTGATTTGTGACCTAACATGTGGTCTGTCCTTGAGAATGTTCTGTATACTGTGGAGAAGAATGTATATTCTGTAGTTGTTTGATGAAATGTTCTGTAAATATCAACCAAGTCCAGTTGGTGTGAAGGGTGGTTTAAATCCTGTGTTTCTCTGTTTATATGTTGCCTAGATGATCTGTTCAATGTTGAGAGAGGGGAGTTCATGTCTCCAACTATTGTATTTGTGTTTTTCTCTTTCCTCCAATGTAATTGTATTTGCTTTATATATTGGGTGCTCTGATATTGGGTGCACGTATATTTATGGTTGTTATGTCTTCCCGTTATGTCTTCCCACATAGATCCCTTTATCATTATATAGTAGCCTTCTTTGTCTCTTTTAATAGTTTTTGGTTTAAAGTTTGTTTTATCCAATATAATAATAGCTTCTCCTGCTCATTTTTTATTTCCATCCATTTGGTATATCTGTTTCTGTTCCTTCACTCTTAGTCTGTGTGTGTCTGTACAGGTGAGGTGAGTCTCTTGTAGACAGCATATAGTTGGGTGTATCTTTTTAATCTAATTAGCCAGTCTGTGTCTTTTGATTGGAGAATTTAGTCCACTTATATTTAGGGTTGTTCCTGAAAGGTATTGTCTTATATCTGGCATTTTATAGATTTTTATTTGGAGGTTTAAATATCTTTTGTTTCTTTCTTTCCCTTTTATTATTTGTCTTTGGTGTTTGTTGGTTTTTGGAGGTGCTGTGTTCTACATGGAGCCTTTGTACATGCTATTCCTTCTGCTTAGAAAACCCTACTCCCTAGCCCCCTGACTCCCAGTTTACAAAACCTGTTTATTCTGTTTATGTCCTAAATAGCTCTTCCTCAGGGAAGACTTCCATGACTCCCTGGCTACATCAGGTCTTGTAAATATGTTCTCTCATAGCACTATCTACAAGGCCTTCATTATACTTGTAGTTTGTAATAATATATTCACTTGTGACTTGTATTTCATCTAATACTTGTCTTGTCAATGAAATTTAAGGTTCTTGAGGAAAAGGCCCACATCTATTTTTTTTTTGTCATTATAGCCACAAGTTATGACCTAAGGGGAATACTTAGTATTTCTTCACAGATGAATATATATAGGTAGAAAGTTAAATGACTTAGATTTCCATTGCATTAAAATGGCAGAATTTAAAGGAAGAAACAGATTATGGCTTTATCATGGAAGATAGAAAGGGCATTTTTACCTTGGAAGATAGAAAGGGCATTTTTTTCTTATTTTTATAAATGTACTGTAAAATACTCCAGACATATTAAAAATGTAAGGAATATAGTATTGGTATAAGAATATACCTTGCAATACTTGCCACTCTACTTAAGAAATAGATATAACTTATATTTATAAAAATACACATAGTCTACTGAGATATAAAAATATATGTAGTCTACCTAGTGTTTGCTTTGTCTTTTAGATACTTCTATGTTAAAGTAACTAATTTTTGTTTATTATTAATTTTTTGAGAAATTTTTTCTTTGAACTTTCAGATGATACAGCAGTGTTTGAGTTGATACAGCTAGTTCCACCAGGTACTGTATTATACATTGATAAGGTAATTGATATGGCAAACTATTTCAATGAAATGTTCTTTAAAAATCTCATCTTTTCTACCTCTTCCAAATTAAGAACAGTGTTGAATTTCTACTATTGGTCCACAGTGTGTGAAATTTCCTTTGACCAAATAATATATATAGAAAGATCTACATAAATGGCCCTTGAACATAATGTTCTAAAATTGATAAAAGTGGAAAATAACATGTTATTCTAGGATGTGATAGTCATAAAAATTGACTCTTAAATTTTTATGATATATATATAGAAAGATCTACATAAATGGCCCTTGAACATAATGTTCTAAAATTGATAAAAGTAGAAAATAACATGTTATTCTAGGATGTGATAGTCATAAAAATTGACTCTTAAATTTTTATGATTTTTTAAAAATATTATATATTTGTATTGGTAAAGTAGTTAATTATCTTTGTTCTTGTGTGTTGACTATTATCGGGAATGGAGGGGAATAAAACTTTACTTATATAGTAAATATTACAGATTCTTGGAGGAGATAGAGTTAAAGTATAGAAACTAGTTTTATTTCTGATATTGATTTTGTGATTAGAGGATAAATGTATCTTATTAAAATCCTGATTTCTTGTGAAAAATGGAGAGCCGTATTTCATTAAATGCTTGTAATCTGTAAAATTTAAATATTATACATATATATACCTAAATCAGGTAGACCCCAATTTTTTCAAAATGTAATCTAATGTCTTACAATTGTAGTTTAAAAAGTGGGAGATAAAAAGTAATTGTGGAGATGGCAAGTAAGTTTTAGATGGGCATATGTTATAACAACTTAATATTTTTAAATGGACATTTTTTTTTTCTAGGCACACATAAGTAGTCACTGAGTTTAAATGACTATCCCCATTTTCCAAAAGGGAGGGGGAGAATTACTAATATGTAGTATATTTCTGTAAAAGGAAGAGTGTTAATGCATTTAACATATTTTCGTTTTTAATTTTTCTTTCATTGGAAATAAACAGGACCCTGACACAGGTAACTTAATAAGGCATCAGGCAACATATGTATTATACTTGACGATTTTGTTTCTAAAAAGAGTATTCTGTTATAATTTGGATCATAGGATATCTTTCTTGTAGTGGGTGAAACACTGTCTACATATGATGAAAATACACGAGATTTCATGTTCCCGGGTCCAAACCAAATTTCTGGACACCATGATTCAAACCGCCAGGTTACCATGAGGAGGATTTCTGGCCTTCGAGTAAGTGCTTACTATTTTCTGAATCAGTTTTTGATGCAGGATCATTATCCAGAAACTACCACATTGCCCTTGACACCTTAAGTGTGAAGAAATAATTCAAAGTGTAATTTTGTTTAAAACTTAGTTGTTTTGTAAAATTGTGTTATTTTAAGTATACTGATATCTAAATGTATATAATTTAACAAAACCCATGCATGTACCATCCAAAATCAGCAAGTGTTATTTTGCCGTATATTCTTTGATCTCTCTCTTCTCCTTCTCTGTGGTCCTTCCCTGACCCCACCCCTGACCCTAGACTCTGTCTCATTCTTCATTTTTCTAAGGAATGACCAACAAACATTTGAAAAGATTCTCAATCTCATTAACATTTAAGGAAATCCAAGTTAAAAGAACTCTATGATTTCATTTTAATGGCCGTAAGATTGGCAAAATTTAATATGAGAATATCAAAAGTGTAAAAAACTCATATATGGTTTATGCCAGGTAAATGAAAACAATCACTATTCAAAATTATCTAGTAAAGACAAAGATTCTCATAGCATATGACCTTCTAAGTATGTATCCTGGACATACATTCTCTTTGGTATGCTAAAAATCTTCTTTAGAATGTTCACTTGTAAAATTGTTCATAATAGTGAAAAGTGGAAATAGTTGAAATGTGTGTTAGTAGGAACTTGGATAGATTAAATGTAAAATGTTCATGGAATGACAATATGTATCCATGCATCTAAAATACAAAGTTGCATTAAGTGGCAGCTTACTCACCCATCCTTTACTACAACTTTTCTCAAGTTCTGTTGGATGATTTCAAAATATTTTTATCCTGGAAAGTAAGTCTTCAACTCAGAAAAACTGAGAAAAACTCATGTTTCAAAGGAAGCAAAGCAGAAGTTGTCTAGCTTGAAATTACAGATGCTCCTCAACTTATGAAGAGGTTATGTCCTGATAAACCCACTGTAAGTTGAAAATATTGTAAGTTGAAATGCATTTATTACACTTAATCTACTGAACTTCGTAGCTTAGCCTAGCCTACCTTAAACATGCTTAGAAAACTTATATTGGGCAAAATCGTCTAACATCTCATGTACTTCATTGAATACTGTATTGAAAGTGAAAAACAGAATGGCTGTATGGGTACTCAAAGTATGGTTTCTACTAAATGCATATCACTTTGAAACCATGATAAAGTCAAAAAATTGTAACTCAAACCATCGTAAGTTGGACACCATCTGTATTTAGACAAACTTTTTTTTAACCTAATTTTATAAAATTTTACAGTAGCCTGAGTAAGGGATGTGGAGTATATGTGAGCCAATATAACAAATTAAGTAATTTCTCCTGTAGATCGGGTTTATGATATGCTCTATCCAAAGAAATAGCAACTTCACCTTACCAAAAGTATAAAAGTTCATTAACTAGCAAGTCTATGAAAATATTCCTCCTTTGGGATATTTTCAGTGTCCATTAGCCAGCTTCTGTACTATAAAAGTCTTCAGAGAGTATTTCAAGAACTGTGTGGAAACCTGCAATGAAAAAAATAGTAATATTATAAAATTATGGTCTTTTAAAAGTAATTTCAAATGCTTTATTATGCCAAGATGGGAATATAAACTCAAGTGTATGAAACATTAACAAGGATTTATTTTTTATCATTAACTTGAGTTACTGTTGCATATATTCAGAAGATGTTAGATTAAAATATATATAAAAGTAGGACTTCTAGTAATGGCAGCATGAAGAGGTTGGCAGTTCTTCCCTCCACACAAAACTAGTGGAAAACCAGACAAAATTATAAACACTTCAGAGCGCTGAAAGCCGACAAGTAAGACAAGACAAATTAAGAAGTTTTTATGCTTGAAAAACTGCTAAAGCTTTGAATAAAAATGGTAGACTATGTGGCCTTTTGCCTGGGATGTTCCCATACCCTGCTTGGTCAGTGAGAACTGTAGCTTCAACAGCTTGGGCCTGGGTGCAAAAACTAACAGATTTGCTACCTTAGGCATCCAAAGCAATTTGCGGCAGCGGGCAAATAGTGCAGCTTTGCGCTTTTGATGTGCGTGGCACTGTTTTACTCACTGAGAATATAATGACAAATAAGGCTTGTTCTTTGCTTTTAAGTTTCAGGAAATTATAGTCTCATGGTGAAACTCAGAGTATAATTGTAAAATCCTTCTTTAAAACTTCAGAAAATTCCAGCATGCTGCCTTAGAAAATCATTTAATCAAACATAGGTTTTCTGAGATGCTTAATGGCATTGTCTGTCAGCAATCTCAGCAGAAGCCGATGTAGAGAAGGGTGTAGCTTTCCTCTAATGAAGTGAACTATAAGACTCACATGAGAGCCAAGAACTTCTTTAGAGCTTATATTGGAAGCAACAACACCATGATAATCTGAGATGGAGAAAGAGACTGAGAGAGAGATTAGAAAATGAAAAGGCTTTTGGACCCTCACAATTCTGTTGATAGGACCCAAGCTCAGAATACTGTGCATCTCCAGTCATATGCAGCCCCCACCACCTAGCAGCAGGCAGAAGCACACACGGGGTCCTAGGCAGGAGCCATGGACTGTCCCCACCTCTTGGCAGCAGGCAAGAACATGCCTGGAGTCCTAGGCAGGTGCTGTGGGCACCCCCTCCTCCACCTAGCAGCAGGCAGAAGCACACACAGAGTCCTAGGCATGAGCTATGGGCAGCATCCCCTGCCTGGTAGCAGGCAGGAGCACACCAAAAACACAACTTTCACCTGGGTGGCCACCTGCAGCTGCAGCTAATGCAAAAGTGGCTTGCCACCACAGTAGCAACCATAGACACATGCAGGTGTCTGTCCCTCCAGACACTCAACTACATTGATACAAGGAGACTCACCAGCACAGACCATAAAAAGAAATGGAAGTCTCTCTCCTTAAAGCCACCTCCAGAGTAATAGAAAAAACAACTGCTCTGCCAGATGATGAGACATCAATAGAGAGATACTGGAAATACAAAAACGGGAGAAAATATGACACCACCAAAAGAATACAGTAAAAAAAAAAAATGCAGTAAAAAATGCATACAATAAAAAAAATGAAAAAAGAGTTTTAAAAAATGAAGAAAATCTGAGACAGTTACAAGATAACTTTAAGCTCACAAACATTCAAATCATGGCTGTTCCAGAAGGGGAGGAGAAAGGAAAAGGCAATGAAAACCTATTCAAGGAAATAATAATTTGAAACTTGCCAGTTATAGGGAGAGACATGGACCTTCAGATTCAGGAGGATCAAAGATCCCCAAACAGATTTCAATCCAAAAAGATCTTCTCCAAGACATATTATGATTAAACTGGTAAAGCTCACAGACAGAGAGAATCCTAAAAGCAGCAAGAGAAGAGCATCAATTCACCTATAATGGAGCCCCTATCCGACTAACAGCAGACTTCTCAACAGAAACTCTACACGCCAGTAGAGAATGGGATGATATATTCAAAATACTAAAAGAAAAAACTGCCAGCCAATAATACTATACCCAGCAAGGCTATCCTTCAGAAGTGAGGGAGAAATAGTGTATTTTCCAGGCAAACAAAAACTGTGGGATTTCATCATCACACATCCAACCCTGCAATTAATCTTATGGGTGTCCTGCATCTGGAATCTGAAAAAGGATAATCACTTACATGGATACACAAGAAAGAACAAAACTCACTAGTAGAACAGAAATCCAAAGAAGAAAGAGAAAGAAACTAAATCTTGCCACCTCAAAAAAACAGCAAATATTTGTTGGGCCCATTTTTAGGAGCAAGCATTATCTCTGAGCCACATGGTGCCTATGGGTGGAGGATGAAGATGGCATCCATGGGGAGTAGGGGAGGCGTAAGCCAAGATAGCTCCAAAAGGTTTTTATTGGTCTGCCAGTATTTCCGCACTCGTGAACCCTGCGTAATCACTGTGCTCAACATGTTAGTACAAAATGCATGCCCGCGTGATCCTTTAATTGATTGGTTAGTTCATGGAAAGCCCCTACTTGCTTGCTTATATAAATTGCAGTGTAATGGCAATAAAGTGGAACTGCTCTGACAGAACCCCTGCCACGTCTGAGTGTCTCTTTCACGGGACTGGGTTGGTGGGCAGCAGGCTCACTTTTCCCTGAGATCCCTTGGTCCCAACACTGGGGGTAATCCTGTTGTCTCCTTCTCCTTCTGGGTCTGCGGGAGGACCCCAGGTGCACCCCTGCAAATATTAAAGACAAACAATAAAAAGGGGAATAAAGAAAAAAAAGATTTAAAACATCCAATTGAAAATCAGTAAAAAGCCAGGAATATGACAGTAGCTTTCAATAACAACTCTAAATGTAAATAGCTTAAACACCTTACTCAAAAGACACAGACTAACTGTATTAGCCCATTTTTGTGTTGCTATAACAGAATACCCGAATCTGAGTAATTTATAAAGAACAGAGTTTTATTTGGCTTCTGATTCTGGGACAGGTGCATCTGGTGTGGGCCTCAGGCTGCTTCTACTCATGGCAGAAAGCAGCAGGCAACAGTGGGTACAAACAGATCACATGGTGAGAGGAAGCAAGAGGGAAACAGAGGGAGTTGCCAAGGTCCTATAAACAACCAGCTCTTGTCGGAACTAATAAAGCTGAGAACTCACTCACTACACCCACCTCCTAGGGAGAGCATTAATCCATTCAGGAGGGATCTGCCCCATGACTCAAACAGCTCCCAACACTGCCACAATGAAGATCAGATTTCCTCATGAATTATGGGGGGGGCAACATTTCCAAACTCTATCACTGACTGATTGCATTTATTTATTTATTTAATATTCACGCTAAAGTTTATTTATTTTTATTTTATTTTATTTTTAATTTATCAATATACAATGTAGTTGATTTTTATGTCCCTTTACTAATTCCTCCTTTCCTCTCTCCCTCTCCCTGCTACCCACCATCAACAGCATATCTGTTCACTTAACAAGTTCAAGGAATTGTGATTGTTGTGTCTCATTTCCCCCACTCGTTTGTATATTTACTTTTTAATTTTTATTAGCTCCCACAAATAAATGAGAACAGGCAGTATTTCTCTTTCTGTGCCTGGCTTATTTCATTTAATATAATTTTCTCTAAGTCCATCCATGTTGCTGCGAATGGTAGTATTTCATTTTTTTTAATAGCAGAGAAATATTCCATTGTCTAAATATGTCACATTTTCCTTATGCACTCATCTGATTATGGGCATTTAGGCTGGTTCCAACTCTTGGTTATTGTAAATAGAACTGCAGTGAACATGAGAGTGCAGGCATTTTTTTGACATGATGATTTCCCTTACTCTGGGTATATATACCAAATAGTGGAATAGCTGGTTCATATGGTAGATCTACACCATCAGTGTAGGAGGGTTCCTTTTCTCCACATCCTTGCCAGCACAGTCTCAGTCTTTCAGATATTAGCCATCCTAACTGGAGTAAGATAGTATCTAAAAGTGGCTTGGATTTGCATTTCCCAAATGCTGAGTAATGTTGAGCATTTATTATGTGTCTGTTGGTCATTCCTATATCTTCCTTTAAGAAATGCCTATTCAACTCCTTTGCTCATTTTTTAATCTGGTTACTTGTTTTCTTGCTCTTAAATTGTTTGAGTTCTTTGCATATTCTGGATATTGATCCTTTGCCTGATGTACATTTTGCAAATATTTTCTCCCACTTTGTTGGTTGTCTTTTTGCTGTGTTAATTGTTTCTTTTGCTGTGCAGAAGCTTTTTAGTTATACATAATCCCATTTGTTTATTTTTCCTTTGGTCGTATGCTTTTGTAGTCTTTGTCATAAAGTCTGTACCCAATCCTACTTCCTGAAGTGTTTCTGCTATGTTTTCTTTAAGGAGTTTTATTGTTTCAGGAGGTATATTTAATTCTTTAATCTATTTTGAGTTGATTTTGGTATATGGTGAGAAGTACAGGTCTAGTTTCATTTTCCTACGTATGAATGTCTAATTTTCCAGCACCATTTACTGAGGAGGCAGTCTCTTCTCTAGTGTGTAGTCTTGTTGCCTTTGTCAAAGATTAGGTGGCTGTAGGTGCATGGGTTGATTTCCAGGTTCTATATTCTGTTCCATTGTCAGGTAGTGTTATGCTTCAATCTTTTTTTTTTGCTCAGGATTCCTTTGTCTATTTGTGGTCTTTTGTTCTTATATGAATGTTAGGATAGATTTTTCCAATCCTGAGAAAAATGTCATTGGAATTTTGATGGGGATGACATTGATCTGTAGATCATTTTGGGTAGTATGGACATTTTCACATCGTTAATTCTTCCTATACGTGAGCATGGGATATCTTTCCATCTTCTTGTGTCCTCTTTAATTTCTCTCAACAGTGGTTTGTAGTTCTTGTCATAGAGATTTTTCACATCCTTGGTTAACTTTATTCCTAGGTATTTTATTTTTTGGTGCTATTGTAAATGGGCTAGCTTTCTTGGTTTCTTTTTCTGCTAGTTCATTGTTGGAGTATAGAAATGCTACCAATTTTTGCATGTGGATTTTATATCCTGTAGCTTTGCTGAAATCATTTATCAACTCAAAGTGTTTTTTGTAGTGTCTTTAATCTGTTTTATATGTAAGATCATATCGTCTGCAAACAGGGACAATTTGAATTCATCTTTTCCAATCTGGATGCCCTTTATTTCCTTCTCTTACCTGATTAGTTCTTGCTAGTACATCCAACACTATGTTCAGTAGGAGTGCTGAGAGTGGGCATCCTTGTCTTGTTCCTATTCTTAAGGGAAAAGCTTTCAACTTTTCCCCATTCAGGATGATATTGGCAGTGGGTTAGTGATATATGGCTTTAACTGTGTTGAGATACTTTCCTTCTATACCCAATTTATAGAGCCTGTATCATGAATGGATGTTGAATTTTGTCAAATGCTTTTTCAGCATCTTTAAGTTTTTAAATCTTTTTTCTTTTTTTTTTTTCCGCCAGTGTCGTTTCAAACAAGCCATCTTCAAGGTCAGAAGTTCTCTCTTCTTCTTGTTCTAGCCTGCTGATTAAGCTCTCTCTTGTGTTTTTTATTTCGTTGAATGAATCCTTCAGTTCCACAAGCTCTGCTACATTCTTTTTCAGGGCAGTGATTTTTTTGTACATTTCCTCTTTCAGGTCCTGTATACTTTTTCTCATTTCATTTAACTGAGTCTTCTTGTATCCCACTTAGTTTCCCTAGAATTGTTGCTTGAAATTCCTTGTCAGTCATTTCAAGAACTTCCTGTTCTAATAGGATCTAGAACTTGAGAGTTAATGTATTTCTTTGGTGGTCTCATACTTTATTTGTTTTTCATATTTCTAGAATCTCTCCATTGGTGTATAGTTATTGTGTCAGAGGCTATCACAGTCTACTAGTTGCTCCTGGGTGTCTGCAGCAATATCAGCAAATTTTGTTGATGCTCAGCTGCATAGTGCTGCCTTGGGGCTCATGGGTCAGTGACTGGGGCCTCTCTCAGGGGCTGGGACTTGCCTGGCATGGTCTGTATCCTGCACACTACCTCAGGCCTGAGGGTCGGTGGCTGGTGCATCTCTCAAGGGTGGAAATTTGCCTGTCTGGGCTGGATCCCATGTGGAGGGTGCGGGGACTTGGCTCTGCTGCCTTGGGGCCCAGGATTTGGTGGCTGGGGCAAGTGATTGAATTTAAAAGCTAGACCCCACTATATACTGTCTTCAAGAAATTCACCTCATCCTTAAAGACACACAAAGACTAATAATGAAGGGATGGAATAAGATGTCCGCACAAATAGAAACCGAAAGCAGCAGAAGTAGCTATTCTTATATCATATAAAATAGACTTTAAACCAAAAAGCATAAAAAGAGACAAAGTAGGTCAATGTATAATGACAGAAGGATCCAGCAAGAAGACATAATATTCATGTGTATGAGCTTTCTCAGAAAGCAGATTCTCAAGCTCCAGTCAAGCCTTCAGATTACTCCAGCCTAAACTACATCTTTTTGCTTTCTGATGAGATTTCAAGACAGAAACACCCAACTCAACCTCTGCCCGATTCCTGACCCATGGAAACTATGTGAGATAATAAGCGTTTATTGATGTTTTAAGCTCTCAAGTTTCGAGGAAATATGTTATGTAGTAATAGATAACTAACAAGCAGGCTTAGTGGATATCATTAATAAAAGATATGTTTGCAGGACAATAGTTCAGTGAACACTTAGGCAGCTCAGATTTACCTTTTCTATAATATGTGTGATCTTTTTAACTTTAAACTTAGTTGGTCAATTGCTGGGTTTATACAGGTCAAATGCAAGCACATTATTGGTCAATGTCTGTCTTCCCCTATGTTAGACTGAAGTTGCCCTAGGCGTAGATGGTATGCTTTAATGTTTCAGTGAATGTATCATTTGTGTGTTTTCAAATACTTTTCAAGTACTGTGTGACTGTCCCTTTGAAGTTTACCATTTGTCTCCACATATCTCAAAAAACAGTATTCAAGCTGAAGATTGAACTGTTGCTAGAAATAGAAGCCAGATTCATTCCTAGGTCTGAATGCAAGCTACATTAGAGGAAAAAATGTTGGAGGAATTGGTAGAGTCCTGTCTCTGTGTTTTCAGGAACTACATACCCAGGATATGTGATTTTTTTTTTTTTTAACACAGGGAGACTATCCAAAGTATTTCTTTTTAAAATTTTTAAATTTACAAATAAATTTTTTTTTAAAGTTTATATATAAAATTTGTATGTTTATGGTATACATTATCTTTTCATGTATATACATATTGTGGAATGGCTAAAACCAATTGAATTAATGAATTTATTTTTTGATTATGTAGTTAAATATGTCTTAAGTTGTAAAAGTAGAAAAACCTGAAATCCATTAGACATGTTCATTTATTTATGACTATAATATCGCATCATAGTTCAAAAATCTTCGAACAGTTTGACAGGGAAATACTTGAAAATGAAAAAAATATTAATTATTTTATAAAAGTAATGTAATCACTTGTAACTCAATCCTCAGCAACAATTTTTTTTACTTTAGCTAAAATTTAGCATTACTTTGCTGTCTTTATCTTTAATAAGAAGTTCAAACTAACAAATGAAACAGCTAAACCTTGAAAAATGTGTGTTAACTTAGGTCATCTGCTCATCACTAAAATAATTATCTCTTTTTACATGGAAATGTCTAATAGTATGCTCTTTTTCCCTCTCAGGGAATTGCCCCAAAGCTGGAATTTTCTACAACTTCAGTGATTACTGAATGTCTGATAAGTTCAAGGAAGTGCCGCACTCAGGTTGGAATCATTTGTTGAAAGTATTTAATGGTTTATTTGTCATTTGGCAAGCCTTGTCCTTGTGTGTTGGCTGTTGCTCTTTTCACCATTCTACAACTTCAGTGATTACTGAATGTCTGATAAGTTCAAGGAAGTGCCGCACTCAGGTTGAAATCATTTGTTGAAAGTATTTAATGGTTTATTTGTCATTTGGCAAGCCTTGTCCTTGTGTGTTGGCTGTTGCTCTTTTCACCTTTTTTTTTTTTTGTCAATATTCAGTTTAAGTAAAACAGTTAACATAGGGCCGGCCCGGTGGCGCACTGCTACAGTGCGCCGCTTGAGAGCGCGGCGGCGCTCCCACCAAGGGTTCGGATCCCACATACAGACCGGCCGCTCACTGGCTGAGTGAGGTGCGGGCGCAACACCGAGGGTTGCGATCCCGTTGCCGGTCCCGGTCCGGTACAGGCGTGACACTGAGGGTTGCGATCCATTGCCGGTCACGAAAAAAGACAAAAAGGAAAAACAGTTAACATAGATATTTAACAGTTTGGGTATATCTTAATAAATGCAAGAATTAAAAGTTTGGTGCACATGATAGAGGGTGCCATGATATTTTTGTTTTGTTTTTTTGTTTTTTTTTACTTAATGAACTTCAAAAAAAAAAATACAAAGAAATCAGGCTGCCAGAAAGATGTTGGGATCAAAAAGTCCCACAGAGAACTAGATTGGAGGCTTCTGTAAATCTTGTAGAAGGTATAGATTAATGCAAAAAGTTTAAAGGATACTTTTTTAGCAAATGTGACCAGAGGTTCTCAGACTGGGATATTGGTGTTTAGTGAGTGTGGTTCCCCAAATGTCTCTAATTTTTTAAGGGAGTGTTCAGTTTGGTGGCCATACTGGTACTGTCAGATCAAGGGAGGCTTGGACATTTCAGCCTAAGTACTTTCCATGTTTGTGAAAACTGCTGTTAGTAAGCTGATATACCTGGATCTGATACTTCATTCTGCTCTAACTTCTTATTGAGTCACCAGGATGGTCTTGCTACCTTGTCCACAGGTTATCTAATAATGTCCAGTCATCCCTTGTGTGCATTTGCATTGTGACCAAGTAACAATGACCTATCTGTGATGGAGAGCCATTAATATATAAAGCCCAGAGGACTCAAACAGGGCAGTACTGGGCTTATCATGAAAGGAGTAGTATGTTAATTTACTGCTGTATCAGTTTTCATGTAAATGTGCTGAGGATGATAACTGACTTAAGCTAAGAAAGGTAAAACATAGTAGTATTGGGGGAACCATTTTTATCTTGTATAGCAAGATATTTAATATTTCAGAGTCAGGCTGTAGTTATTTATCTTTTAAATGCAAGCTGAAACACAGCTATTAGAGATCAACAACCTATGCTTGCCAAATGTGGAGATATGTTACTGACTTGTTTTTAAGACATGTGCTGTGCACATCTTAAAATTGTTAGAAATGCTTTGCCTGGACTCACAATTTTTCTTTCCACACTGGGGTATGACCTTCCAATGGGTGGGTAGAGAAGTTTTTTTTTTTTTCTATTTAATTTTTTGTCTGAAGTATAGCATATATGCAGAAAAGTACATACATTCTAGGTAAACAGCTTGGTGGAAGAGCCTTTTCTAAATGTAAAGTCATCAACCCATTAATAGTTTCACTATTACTATGAACTAACATTTTCCTCTGTAAACTTCTGGCAAGACTGTTCCATTTGTTTTTGTTTTTTTGAGTTGGAGTTTCAGTTGTTTGCCATTTGATCTTTATTGAACAGAGATGTGAGAGAATAGGCTTTGGTGTCAGGCAGTTTTTAAGAAAATATACTTTAGAAACAAATAGATCTGGGTTTAAGTACCTCATAATGCCACTATAAAGATTAAGTTAGAGAATACATGCAACGTGCCTGATAGTCAAACCTAGAGTCTTCACAGGAGGAGAAACTACCCTAGATGTGGATACAAGAAGAGAAATTATGGCAGCTATTTTGTGTACAGCAAAACAGAGCCACTATTTTAAGTTTACTAGGCATGAACAGAGTGGCATGCATTTGTTGTAAAATAGTACATAGTTACGACTTCCTTTAATGGTATGCAGCATTCAAAAATTTTAATGAAGAAAGAAGATGGGGTTACTTAAGGTTTGGTATAACCAGACGTGGGTATGTTAGAAGGAACTTTACAGCACTGCTGAAATGGATGATTATGAGTTCAGCTTGGTCTGTAGGTAAGAGGTGCTAAAAGTGTATAAAAAACTGGGGAAAGAGTTCTAGAGACTGGGACGTAGGAATGGCAGGTAACAGATTGTGAGAGTAAAAGAAGTAGATTGAGGATAACAGGTTTTAATCAGCAAGTGATTTTCAGAGTTGAGGATGCAATGGATCTGCATGATAATGAAATCCAAGATACAGTAGAAAAAGATAATGAAGGCTGAGAAATATAATCTCAAATTCCAAGGTCTTGGAAATATTTATTGCTTGAATATTTTAGTAAACCTCAAAGATTCTTTATAGTGCCTACATTCCTTGCTTCTGTGAGTCAGTGTGATGTCATAGAGATGGATGGATAAGGTGAAGAAAAAAATTCTGTATTACTAGTCGAAGTCATTGAAGAAGGTCGGAGAAGATCCAGGAACATATCAAGAACTACAGAAGGAGGAAAGATGAAATAGTCTGATGCTATTGGTCTGTATGAAACTCAGACTTATTTTTCCAATTAGGAAAATATGTTTTTTTTCCTGTGTATCTACTTTAAAAAAATGTTTGGCTCTTTTTGCTTCTATTGATATATTTATTTTATATATTTAGATACCCTTTGCAAGTAAGGAGGGGAGTTGAGAAAGTAGAGAGAGAGGTAGGATTGGTGGTTTTAAAAGATGATTAAAGTTTGGAAGATATTAAGAGATTCTCAACTGTCCATTTTCTCTAATTGAAAAGCTTCTTATAAATCTAGATAATCCATGAAAAAATCTTATATTATTTTCTAGTAATTCAACTATTAAGGCATCTATAAGGCAGAGACTATTTGAATAAAATATTGTCCTAATAATCAACAAAATTAGAAATATCAAAAATTTTTTAAGCTGAAAAATTTTAGACTACTAATTGGTTTTATTAGAAGATATATTACCAGTTATTAAAGTTTATAGTATGTCTTTTATATACTTTTATAAAAATATGGGACCAAATTAAATGGCATGATTATCTGTCATTGAATTGTAATGTTATAGCTTAGAAAGGACCTTAAAATCCTATTCATCTTGTATAATTCAAATAATACATTTCATTAAAATATGTATAAAGTTGTTCTTCAGATTTTTATGTTATACATATGTGTATATAATAACAAAATGAATGAAACTTATTTTCATAGCTCTTCTCCATAAAGATTTCATAATCCACTAATTAGACATGTATACTTTAATATTATTACATATAATCCTCTTAAATTACATGGACAATTATTTGAATATTTAAATATAAATAACCAATTTTGTATTAAGTTTTTAGAATACTGAAAGTAATTTTTTCTGACTTTGTTTCTTAGACTTTTAAAATGATCAAGCTTTAGTTTTCATAAAGTCCGTGTTAGTTAGACTTAAGAAAGAAGTCTGAAACAGCATATTTTGATAACTACTATACAAATAGTTATCTAGGACAACATGGATTTGACTTTCCCCAGGATCAGCACAGATAGGAGAGACTGATTAGTTGGCTTTGTTAGATTTTGTATCTTTTTAAGGTCAAATAACTTTTCAAAGTTTTTTTTTTTTTTCTACCCAAAGGTTTTTTTTTTTTTTTTTTTTTTTTTAAATCTCTTCTGCCCAAGCTAATTTTTATCTTTTATGTCTAGGATAAATTTACTTACCATTCGGCTCCACTTGAAAAATCAAACAGCAGACTACAAAGTAGAACATCAAGATCACAAAAGAAAAAATCCAAATCACCCGAAAGGAGTAAATATTACATAAATGCAAAAAACTACGAACAGCCTACAATTTCTTCAAAATCACACTCTCCATCTCCCTACACAAAAAGACGCATGTGTGAGCTATCTGAAGACACCAGGCGGCGGCTGGCCCATTTAAATCTGGGACCCTATGAATTCAAAAAAGAAACAGATAAACCTCCATTTGTGATTAGACATGTATGTGTTCTCTTAAGCATTTTCATTTGAAACTGATCAAATCTTTTCTTCCACTAAAATATTATTCTGGAATGTCTTTCAACCTCTAGCTTATATTAATAATTTTCTTTCTTGAACCATCTGTTAGCCCAGCAATCTAAAGTGGAAAATTAACTTAGAATTAAAGAGCGTGCTTTTTTTTCAGTCTTTAAACCTAACAGAGATCAAGCACTATTATGAATGCTATGTTAAATCCTCTTAAGTACCCATTTCCTGTTTTATACAGTGGACAGTGTAATAACTCTACAAATTGAAGTTGGTTGTAATTGACATTAGTACTAAAATGGCTGAGTAGGGTTTTAAAAAAGAACAAAGTAATCTTTATGAAAAGAATGACCTCACCCCAGGCTTTTTAAAAATTATAATGGAGAATAAGTTTCCTTTGAAATTATGTCCCTTGGGTAAGCTTTGTATAATGGATCTTTGAAGCAAATCATTGATGTGTATGGGAAGGCCTTTGAAAGTGAAGAGAGTTAACTTAAGGGTAGCATAGTTCTCATCTTTTTATACAAAAGCCTCCTTTTGATATGGTTTAAGTTTAGAGTCTATGTCTGTATGTTAGTCGAATAGACTGACTAAATTTAAGGCTCCATAATCAAAATATTGAATAAAGTACTTTCTTAAAATTTTCAGTTTCCTGAATTTTTATAAAGTATTTTTACCTTGAAAGCAATTCCTTACCAAAGCTTTCAAATTAATTTAAAAATACTAATTAATATATATATTAATATATGATAGCGATACTTAATCTCAAGATTTAAGGGCCTGTAGAAACAAAACAACTTCTTGGAATATATATAAAAATATTTCTAACTGTAATGTCGTAATTAATTTTTCTGAATTCTAAAATTTGATAATCCAACATGTAAACATGCCCATTGGCAGTCTATAGCCTTTTTGTTGTTTGTTGTTGTTTTTTCAAATGTTGTTTTCTAGTATGGTTCTTATCTAGTCTTCACATTTATTTACATAATAGACTATTTGTTATTGGCCTATTCATCATTACAAATCATAATCTTTCCCCATGTCATGCCCTCCACCCAACCTGTAGCTCCCCAATCCCCCTTCCTCTTTCCCTCCCATCTCAAGTATCCTTAAGTTTGTTATCTCCTTCTGAAACTTCAATGTATTATTGTGGTCTTTTCTTTCTTTCTTTTCTTCTTCCCTCCCTTCCTCCCTTCCTTCCTTCCTGTTTTCTTCCTAGTACCCACTTATGAGTGAGAATATGAGGTATATCTCTTTCTGTGTCTGGTTTATTTCACTTAACATCATTTTCTCCAGATTCATCCATGTTGCTGCAAACAGCAGAATTTCATTCTTTTGTATGGCTGAGCAGCATTCTATTGTGCATAGATAACACATTTTCCTTATCTAGTAGTCCATCAATGGACATTTAGGTTCGTTCCCTATTTTGATTATTGTAAATAGAGCTGCGATGAACCTGGAATGAACAAGACAAGGAGACTGTTAATCAGTTCTAAGAATTTTTCAGTAGAGTCTTTAGGTTTTCCTATATATAAGATCATGTCATATGCAAATGGTCAGTTTGACTTTGTCCTTTCCAGTCTGGATACCCTTTATTTCTTTCTCTTGTCTGATTGCTCTGTCTAGTACTTTCAATATTATTTTAAATAGGAGTGGTGAGAGTGGGCATCCTTGTCTTGTTCATTCAGAATGATATTGGCAATCGGTTTGTCATATATGGCTTTTATTCTTTTGAGATAATTTTCTTCTATACCTAATTTGCTGAGAGTCTTTATCATGAGGGATATTGATTGATTTTGTATATAATGAGAGGTATGGGTCCAGTTTCATTCTTCTGCATATGGATGTCCAATTTTCCTAGCACCATTTATTGAAGAGGCAGTCTTTTCCCCAATGTATGTTCTTGCTGCCTTTGTCAAAGATCAGATGGCTTTAAGTACGTGTGTTGATCCTAGGGTCTTCTATTCTGTTCCATTGATCTGAGTGTCTGTTTTTATGCCAGTACTGTGCTTTTTTGGTTACAATAGCTTTGTAATATAGTTTGAAGTCAGGTAGTGTTATGCCTCCAGCTAAATTTTTTTCTCAGGATTGCTTTGGCTTTTTGTGATCTTTTGTTGTTCCATATAAATGTTAGGATTGCTTTTTCTATTTCTGTGGAGAATGGTCATTGGTATTTTGATGGGGATTGCATTGAATCTGTATATTGCTTTGTAAAGAGTGGATGTTTTCATGATGTTAATTCTTCCCATCCAAGAGCATAGTATGTCTTTCTGCCTTTTTGTGTCCTCTTTTAGATTCTTTCAGTGCTTTTTTATAGTTCTCAGTGTAGAGACCTTTCACCTCCTTGGTTAAATTAATTCCTAGGTTTTTTTTTTTTTTTTTTTTTTTTGGTGACTATTGTAAATGGGCTTGCTTTCTTGATTTTTTCTTCTAGTTTGTTACTGGAGTATAATAATACTACTTGTATGGAGGTGTTGATTTTGTATCCTGCAACACTACTGAAATTGTTAATCAGCTAGGAGTTTTTTGGTAGAGTCTATATGTTTTTCTGTATATAAGATCATGCTGTCTGCAAACAAGGACAGTTTCACTTCATCCTTTCCAATCTGGATGCTCTTTATTTCTTTCTCTTGACTGATTGCTCTGGCTAGTACTTCCAATGATGTCTTAAATACAGTTGGTGAGAGTGGTCATCCTTGGCTTTTCCTGTTCTTAAGCAAAAGCTTTTTCCTATTCAGGATGATATTGGTGATTGGTTTGTTGTAAATGGATTTTATTGGGTTGAGATAATTTCCTTCTGCACCTAATTTGCTGAGTCTTTATCATGAAGGGATGTTGAATTTTGTCAAATGCTTTTTCTGAATCTATTGAGATAATCATATGGTTTTTGTCCTTGATTTTGTGGATGTGGTGTATCACACTTATTGACTTGCATATGTTGAACTGTCCTTGCATCCCTGGGATGAATCCCATTTGATCATGGTTTATAATTGTTTTTGTGTGTTGCTGTAGTCTGATTACTAATATTTTGTTGAGGATTTTTGCATCTGCGTTCATTAAGGATATTGGCCTGTAATTTTTGTTGTTGTATCTTTGTCTGGTTTTGGTATGAGCATGATGCTGGCCTCATAGAATTAATTTGGGGGAATAGCTTCTGTTTCAATTTTTTGGAATAGTATGAAGAGAATTGGTTATAATTCCTCTTTAAAGATTTGATAGAATTTAGTTGAAAAGCCCATCCAGTCCTGGGCTTTTCTTTGTTGGAAGATTGCTGATTTCTGCTGCAATCTCATTGCTTGTTGTTGATCTATTCAGGTTTTCTATTTCTTCTTGGTTCAGTCTTGATACTTCTTATGTATCTAGAAATTTATCATTTCCTCCAGGTTTTCATATTTGTTGGAATACAGTTGTTTATAATAATCTCTAATTCTTCATATTTCTGTGGTATCAGCTTAATGTCTCCCTTTTTATTTCTGATTTGTGTTATTTGGGTCTTCTCTCTTATTTTTATTGTTAGCATAGCAAATGTTTGTCTATTTTATTTATCTTCTCAAAACAACAAATTTTGTTTTATTGATCTTTTGTATTGTTTTGGGGGGTCTCTGTTTTATTTAGTTCTGCTCTGATTTTAATTATTTCTTTCGTTTACTACTCTTAGGGTTGGATTTTTCTTGTTTTTCTAGTTCTTTGAGGTGAAGTATTAGGTTGTTTACTTGACGTCTTTCTATTCTTTTGATGTGAGCATTTATTGCAATAAACTTCCCTCTTAGTATGGCTTTTGCAGTATCCCACAGGTTTTGGTATGATGTATCTTTATTTTCATCAGTTTCAAGAAATTTTTTGATTTCCTGTTTAATTTCTGCCTGGACCCATACGTCATTCAGGAGCCTGTTGTTTAGTTTCCATGTGCTTGTATTGTTTCCTGAGTTTTGCTTATTATTGATTTCCAGTTTTTTTTTTTTCCTTTTTGTCTTTTTTCGTGACCGGTAACGGGATTGCAACCCTCGGTGTCGTGCCCGTACCGCGACCGGCAATGGGATCGCAACCCTCGGTGTCACGCCCGCACCGCGCTCAACCAGTGAGTGGACCAGTCTCTATATGGGATCCGAACCCTCAGCGGGAGCGCCGCCATGCTCCCAAGCACCGCACTCTACCGAGCACGCCATCGGGCCGGCCCTTGATTTCCAGTTTTAATCCACTGTGGTTTGAAAAGATAATTGGAATGATTTTGATTTATTTTTAATTTGCTGAGACTTGACTTATGACCTAATATGTGGTCTGTCCTGGAGAATGTTCCATGTGCTGATGAGAATAAATATTCTGGAATTGTTGGATGAAATGTTCCATAAATATTTGCCAGTTCCAGTTGGTCTAAGGTGTAGTTTAAATCCTGTGTTTCTTTATTGATTTTTTGCCTGGAAGATCTGTCCAATGCCCAGAGAGTGTTCAGAGCCCCCACTATTATCATATTAGTGTCTATGTCTTTTTGCAGGTCTAAGAGTGTTTGCTTTATGTATCTGGGTGCTCCAGTGTTGGGTACATACATATTTATGATTGTTATGTCTTCTAAGTGGATAGATCCCTTTATCATTATATAGTGGCCTTCTTTATTTCTTTTTATGATTTTTGGTTTAAAGTCTATTTTATCTGATATTAGAATAGCTACTCCTGCTCATTTTTGTTTTCCATTTGCATTGTGTATCTTTTTCCATCCCTTCACTTTTAGTCAGTGTGAATTTTTACAGGTAAGGTGAGTCTCTTGAAGACAGCATTTGTTGGGTCTAGCTTTTTCATCCAGTCAGTCAGTCTGTGTGTTTTGAATGAGGAGTTTAATCCATTTACACTTAGGGTTGTTATTGACAGTTATTACTTTACTGGTTTACCCCTGTCATTTTATTGCTTTTTGTTCTGATCTTTTAAATATCTTTTGTTCCTTTCTTCCCCTTTTATTTTTCATCTTTTATGTTAGGTTTTTTGAGGTGGCATGATGTAGTTTTTTTCTCTTT